AATTAGATTCCGTGGGCAAGGTGCTCGACTCTGACTGTGAGTGTGGGTTGATGGAGGAAGAAGATCCGAGTGAGCTGCTTTCCAAGTTGTAACTTTCCTATTCACTCGGAAGCAACCGTGAGAGATAAGCTCGCGGAGCTGTGCGCACCGTGCTGTTTCAAAAAGGTGTGAAGGATGACGAAGTTAATCGTTTAGACGAGTTTGGCGAGTCCATCTGCAGCTCCAAATGTTCCTCGCGGGCGCTGCACTGCTCTGCATCAGGTCTGGAGATCGCCGGCACCACGAGTGCAGCGCAGTTCGCAGCAGAGAGTTCCGCAGTAGAAACCTGCAGTAGCGTGTCGAGTAGGCGATCCTTTGGCATCACTTCCAGGCCCTTCTCATACTCCGTTACTGCCGTCCAGCAGCACTCCAGCAGACTTCATCGCACACGAGGACAACAGAACTTCATGACTCCGAGGACTCCGAGCTCTGAGCTCTTCTATGTCTTGAATAGTATCATTAGATGAGCCGCGCTGCACAGTGAACTTGTGAAATGGAAGCCTGCAAGAATTCCTGCTCCGACTCGACTAGCTGCGCGGCTGTTTCGCAAGACTCGTGACATTGACTGTTACTCTTGTTTGCTTGGGGCTTCGAGGGTGCTTTGAGCGTATGTGCAGGGTATCTGCACCTATCGTCAATATGACTGTACCGGAGTGGAATGCAAGCTCTGCGAATGGTTGTGAAACCGAAACTGCGCTAGCTATGTGATAGCACGATGATGGGGCACTCTATGCAACGGCGAAGGCGATCTTGCAGCGAGGAGGGAGAGGGGGAAGGAGGATGGGAGGACTGATAGGTACAAGGCGGATTGCTGTGAAGAACACGAGCGCGACTGAGCACATGCATCAACGCTCGAGGTGCCGCCGCAAGAAGGCCACTAAGTGATCGACGCTTGTCTTGCGCTTCGACGACGGATTAAACTCAAAAGCAAAGTCACCACTTCGCTTCGAGAGCATGTATGCCCTCCTCCAATTCTGAATCCCACCTTCCATCATAATCTCAAACCCGACCTCCCCCCATCCGCCCCTTTCTATGCCCCCTCCCCCCCTATTTTACTCATCTCGCCGCCACGCGCCCTGCCCTACATCACCAAAAGCGCCAACAAATCTCTCACGTATCACTTCCTTCCTGCCCTCGGGTATCCTCCTCACCTCTACAGCATGCGTTTCCTCTTCGTCAGCAATCCAGCTACCGGTCAGGTCAACCCTCTGCTAGCAATCTCTTCCGAACTGCTCTCGAGAGGTCATGAGGTCCACTTTTGCTCAGCAGACCGGCTCTCTCGAAGCTTTGGCAAGATGGCGGTGAAGACTGGCCATGGCGACCGCGGCTACTTCCACGGCGTGGGCAGCGGTCGAGAATGCGAAGACTTGACCGATCTCGTGCAATCCAAACCCGACCTCTTTCACAACATTATTCGTCACAAGCCCGGAGCTCTCACCACCTATCTCAATGCTGTCTGCAAGCTCGGCGACGAGTCTACAGCTTCAGATGTCTACAAACGTGTCGTCTTTAGAGTCAGAGACGTCTGTTTAGAGACCAAAGCTGACATGGTGAGTCGTGCGTTCTACCTCTTGCCTCTCGATGCGCACCATCGTATCGACCGTCGCTCGTGATAGCCGTCGCCAAGTCGAGTCGGAGGGAGCCGTTCGTTTCATGCGTTTCCCACC